AAATTGTATTCGTAACATTAAAACAAACGTCATGATACAATGTGAGCGACAGTTACAAAGTGTGGTTTAAGTTCAGAGAGAATGGTAAATGTGACAACGGATTACAGACACTACAGATCTCATCGGTGGTGTAGAAAACCCCTGAGGCAGTTAACGGCGATTATTGCTAAGGCCCTAAGACCATTTGCACAGCGTGCATCCGAGACTCAAAAAACGAGCGTCCTATTTGCCAAATCATGACCTAGTCCATTATATTCAACGAGAGTGCCCTGTGCGACTATGTCTTCAACACACTTCACAACATGAATGCGAAAGTATGCCCCGGGATTTCTGCCAAATATCACGGCCAACAAACTATGTCGACGACCGGTCACACGCTGAATTCCCATAAGTTGGATTCAAACTTCATGAGGGAGCAAAGCTCGTACCGGGAAGCTATCACCTCATCTGCCTTACACTCGGGTGCCGGCGCATTCTGTGGATCCACAAAAAACTAACTGGCAACGAAAGCCCAATTCATTACGCTCTTTCCTATTAGGTGTTCAGATTAGACAAAATGGGCAACAGTTAAATGGATCCCATGGTAGATGAAGCCACATAATGTAAAATGATATCACTAGATGGATCAGAGATCATTTGAAACGGTATTTCATGCACACCCAAATAGCACATGATGAGAGCGAAGCTTAAATTAATTCACGGATTCACAGATTGATACACAGGATCGAGGCTTTTGCCCAAGATTCCCGGGTCGCTTTTGTTCTTGTCGGTCAGTGGCTGTCGTTCACCTGAAAGGCACAAGTGAAAAAATGGTGTAGCACTGCTCTTTATGTTCTCAGCGCGAGGCAGTATACTTGCCAGCGCGAGGATTCGCATAAATAAATGTCTAATAGTGCTTTAAACTGGGTTCCAGAAGGAGAGTGGACAACCGAGGGAGGAGGGCTATTCCATGCAGCTACTACCCGAAATGAGAAAAACATTTGCCTGATGAATGTGTGTGCTCTGACCTTGGAAATCTTCTCACTCTGTTCGCGCCGTGTGTTTTCTGGGTCAACGGTAAAAAGCCTGTTTGCCAAGCTTTGTTCAAACGGGGCATAAGGAAGAATTAGGTCCCCCTGGAGGCGATGGTACTCCAGGGGAAAGAGATCAAGCATCGCGAGACGCGTTTCGTAGTCCACGGATTTCAGGCCGGCAACCATTCTAGTGGCGGTCCGTTGGACACGCTCAATGAGGGTGACGTCTTTTGTGCGTCCTGAGTAGACAACTTGGTTGGCGTACTCCAAGAGCGGTCTGACGTACGCCCCATAGAGTATTTGGACGCCCATGCGAGTAATACGGGAGAAGGTGCGTCGGATCATCCGTAAAATGGTGAATGCTTTTTGGGCCGATTTCTCATGGTGCAGTGAGAAGGACAAGTCTGAAGAGACCCAGATGCCCAAATACTTTTTGGCCTCCACCCTCATGATGTTTTCTGGTCCTTCCTTACCATACATAACAAGGGCATTCGCTGAGTCTCCTCCAAATGACATATGGATGCACTTTTCGTCATTTAGAGGAAGGTGCCGGTCCAACGACCACTGCTTGGCAGCGTCTAGATCCATTTGGAGTGCACTAGCGTTGGAACTCCACGATTTCAAGTCGTCCGCAAAAGTAGACATGGATTTGCAAGAGCATCTGGAGGTCGTTGATGTAGATCAGAAACTGTAGCGACCCAGTCACCCACATACTTGACTGTTCAACTCAGTCGCTCACGGGATCGCGAGGCTTGTCTTTTTTCTCATCAGCAGAAGCAAGTCGCATTAAGCTGACTCATCGGACATCGATTGTCTGCACCGAGTAGTCAGCGTAGCAACCAGTCATGTGCCGACGCGCCTACGTTTACGCACTGGGACCTACATAAAGGGAAACCGAACCCAGTCAGCACACAGACTCGCGCGCGCTGGGAGCAAGGGGTCAGCCAAAGACGTCAAGTCCACGGAAAATCATGGAACATGTGTAGCAGCCATGCTGCGAAGAAAACACGTTCTTACCGTCCGGAATTTTACCAAGGGACTCCAACATCCGACACAGACTCGTGCGCGCGCAGGGAGCAGGACACCAAACTCTCCGCAAGTCCACGGACAACCATGGAGTACGTGTAGCAGTCGAGCTGCGGAGAAAAACACGGTCCCGCCGTCCGGACTTCCACCAAGGGACTCTCACATATGACAAGTTCCCTTTTATGACTCCTCCCCATTCTTGCACTGTATTTATTTTCATACGTGTCGCAGAAATACCACCTGTGCACTAATAAAACAGCACTGGTCCCAGAACTGAGCCTTGAGGAACTCCAATGGAGACCGGCGCTGGAGAACAGTAGGTTGAGTCTATTCTCGCTCGGAATGATCTGTCTGATAAGAATGCTTTGATCCATCGTAGGATTTTCCTTTGAATCCCGTAAGACTCTTGTTTGTGGAGCAGCGGGACATGTGGGACCCTAGCAAATGCTTTTGAGAAGTCGAAAAATATGGCATCCGATATGGAAGTAAGGAGATCCAGGATAGCTCGCTTCAGAATGCGTGCCATCACCTTGCACGGCACGCTAGTGAGGCTTATAGGCCTATAGCTGCCAGGCGATAGTCGGTCACCTGTTTTGTAGATTAGCGTGACAATCGCTTCCTTCCAAGCAGGGGAAGGCGGCCTTCGTCAAGCGACTGACGAAACACCAGGTGTAGATGACTGGCTAGTGTGAACGTCGTTTCCTTCAGGATCCTTGGATAGACTTCGTCGGGCCCCAACGCGCAGAATGGGCCGATCTGTTGCAAGAGTTGACAAATTTCCTCCACCATGAAGACCAAGTAAGTTAGAAGCTGTTCTTAGCTCCGCCTTGACAAGAATGGATGTGAGTATAGACACGCATAGTGTTCTCTGTAAACCTCAGATACAACTGTTGGGTCATTCGTCCGTTCTTCGTTTCTATCCCTCAAGGACAACGCGGATGGCTTGCTTCTGTGGCGTTGTCTCACGTATTTGAACAAGACGTTTTGTTTTTTTCGAGTGAGGTCCAGAATGGTCGCTTGTTCCCGAATGTTTCATTGGCGGATTTCCGATTTACGGCGGTTCCGCATTTTACGAAATGCCAGCTCACCTACTGTATCCCCTGTAGTCACATTTTTGAAAAAGCGTTAGGACCTTTTTCCAAAATTCGCCGAATCCTTTTTGGCAGCCTGCGGTTCATCCGAGTGCGTGCTG